TCACTGCTGTCTAGGAAATCAAAAGAACAATCATTGTCCAAGACACACACATACCCAGATAATCATAATCAAAGCTCATAAATAAAGATCTCTGTCTATTAATAACTAGTGGCAACTTCTCCTCCAGTTAACAGTGGATCTGAAGATGCCCTCTTTCTCTCAGATTTGTCGCAGAGTTAGAAGGCAGAGATGCAGGAAACACAGAGATTCCTTACAAGATACTTTCTGCAACTCTATTTTTTCATGCTGGAGTGTGGGCACAAGCATTGTTGCAGGCAGATTTCTATCTCTCCACTGCAAGCTGAATTTGCAGAACATAGTTTTGTGCAATGGGCTTGTGAAGGCAGCTCCACTGTTCCCCAGACTCACTTTCCATAGGCCAGATTTATTCTTCAGCCATCGCATGATCATGTTATTTGCTGGATGATGTCATCAAGGAGAACTAGGCTGAGAGTTATAGTTTGTTCCTTTAAGAAACAGAGTGGAAATAGTCATTTTCATGGAAAAAGGCTTGTCATTTATAGCTTTGTAAAGTTTGCACAGAGTTTTGCAGGGGTTTTTTTGTGGGGGACATTTTTCAAATAAGATTGTTTAAAAGTTTATGCTTTAAAAAAGAAAGAATGGAAACAGATATTAATCTTTCTTTTCCTCATATTCTGTACTTCCTCACATGCAGACCCAGGTTACAAGAAACACCAGCTGTTGTGACATCCTTTTCAGCTGTTAATCCCTGTGCTTTCAAGATGCAAATTTGGAACTAGCTCAGGAAAAAAAAAGATTCAGCAAATGGCTGAGACCCAAATCACTACAAGAAATCAGTGTATACATCACTGAGAATTCAGATATGACTCACAGCCAAAAAATAAATCCTATTCACAGTGGATTTCTTGCAGTTTAGCTCTAAAACAGCTGGGTTTTGTGCATTTTGAAAGTCACCTATGGAATGGGAACAACAAATGTGTGGGATATTACCTTTCCATTAGCTCTGATGATTACAACTGTAGCCTGATGTACTTTTCCCCCTTAATTTTTACTTGAAATTCAGATATTACCTGCCACCCCTTCCCACAAGAGGTGTTCTGGACCAGCTGAAGGGGGACAGGATTTTTTGTGATCTCTCATGTTTTCAGGTTCTTCCATGGCAGAGCCTTTCTCAGCACCGGTGGAGCAAACCTGTGGCCGCAGAGCCCTCTTGTGGAGCAGATCCAGTCGGTTCTGGAGGGAGGAAACTTTTTTGTTCGGGGTTTTTTGGGGTTTTTTGCTTAGGAGGAACAAGAAATATGTCCTATGGATTGCTGTGGCAGGACAAAGTCTAGGCAAGACATACTGCTCACTCCAGCATCTGCTTCACGCAGCTTGGAGTATCAACAAGTCTTGTAACTCTGTAGGAGATTCCCAAATTCCCTGAGAGCTGAAACACAGAAGCCAAGATTCCTCTCATTTTTGCCTAATTTAATACTCACAGTTAGGAGGGGTTTGACAATGCTCCTGCCTAAAGGGTTGCCACTTCTATCTGAAAATATAACTATGCCACGTGAATTTCACAAACTGAACCAATGTTTCTATCTATAATGGCAGGAGAAAGATGGGTATTTCAGTTACCCATTCTAACGGTCCTGTAGTTTCATATTATCTTCTATTAAAAGGGGGCTGCAGTCCTGCCTTTAGGAAAAGCTACCTTATTTAAAAAAAAAAAAGGCTTCTAGAACCTCATGAGGTTCGACAAGGCCAAGTGCAAGGACCTGCACATGAGTCGAGGCAACCCCTGGCTGGTATCAGCACAGGCTGGGAGATGAAGGGATTGAGAGCAGCCCTTTGGAGAAGGACTTGGGGGTAATGGTCGATGAAAAGCTGGACATGACCTGGCAATGTGCACTCACAGCCCAGAAGACCAGCCGTATCCTGGGCTGCATCAAAAGCAGTGTGACCAGCAGGTCGAGGGAGGGCATTCTCCCCCTCTACTCCGCTCTCGTGAGACCCCACCTGGAGTTCTGTGTCCAGGTCTGGGGCCTCCAGCATAAGAAAGACATGGACTGTCTGAGTTTATCTGTGTGGCTGACCATGTATGTACATGTATATTTAGATATGTATAGATATATATTTGTGTACTGGGTGTATGAATGCGTGAGTGCCTTTTGGGAGTACACGCTCAGCCTTGCTACCGGCTGGATCAAGGAGCACGGAGCTGCAGCAGCCTCCCATCTAGTGGACTGTTGGATTCAGCAAACCCTAGCACTTTTCTCTCGGGCCTTGCATGAGGGATTCACTGCATCCTCACCTTGTTATAAGGGACTGCAAGGTTTTGGCAGCATCTGAGAGCTCATCAGACCAGCTGAGAACAATCTCTTCAGGGCAAATATGACCAATGATACTCTCATTACTGGTTTACTTTTTATTTCTGTTTACCTTCCTTTGCTGTCTTTTCTCTCAACAGCCACAAAGCACGGATAGTCGAGCGGTAAACAAAAAGCAACAAGATCTCCTATCACTCTTACGACGGCCATCAGCACCTGCACTGGCACTGGCTGGGATGGAGTTAACTTTCCTCATAGCAGCTCGCATGGTGCTGCGTTTTAGATTTGTAACTAAACAGTGTTAATAACACACAAGGTAGTCATACAGTATAGAATGACCCTGTAGGTCATTTGGATCAAACTCCTGTGGGGAGTTTGGGTCAGCTGTCCCAGCTGTGTCCCCTCCCAACCTCCTGCCCACCCCCGGCCTGCTCCATGGTGGGGCAAAGAGAGAAACAGTGAAGGCCTTGATGTTGTGCAAACACTGTTCAGGCAAAATACTGGTGCATTACCAAGGCTGTTTTGGTCACAAATACAACACACAGCACCACACTGGCTGCTATGAAGAAAATTAACTCTATCGCAGCCAGACCCAGTACAATAATTTACTTCACTTTCTGTGAAACCGTTTGGGCCGAATGACACAATGACTTTTGTTTTTTCATCAGATTATAAGCTGAGTTGGCAAGGACATGGCACAGACGAGCAAGTAAGAGTGGGGCAAAGCAGTCTTTAAGCCCTGAGAAACCATTCACTGACCAAGAAACCCCTCCTTCTGTACGTCCTTCAGGAAAGCAGTACACTAATTTCTGAGCTCTGACCCTCCACGACACACTCTGAATTTCACTCCTGTTGCATTAAAGCGTAATGAAGTTTGGCAGAAGATAAACCCCCTTGCATTCCAGCTTGTCCTCAGATGTCAGAGGGGCTGGGGGCGGCTAGGCTTAGATTCTGAGTGATGTCCAATTCAACACTGTAAGTCTGGTTGCATTCAATATATTGAACTATTGCAATTATGCATGCACTAATAGTGCACTGTACTTTCAATTTAGCCACGTTCAATGAACTATAATGGCCAAACTTAGGGAGTTAGGTTGTCTTCAGTGAACTATCACGGCTAGATTTTAATGAGTAGCACAATTTATTAAAGCAACAGGAGTACAGATTCTTTTGGACTGCCAGTGATAAATACACTGTCTGCAAAGCATGTGCAAATAATAATACAGTTGACTACAAGCACATTAAATTATGGAAGAAAAGAGCTCTAAAGAATTCTAAGTTTCCCAGGAAGGCACTCAGTACAGCCGAGTGTTCGAATCTCACCCAGCAGGTGTCCCGATGGGGAGGAAGAGAGGTTCAGCCCATTGACTGATCCCAGAAGTCAGTGATGTCCTCCCGACATGTTCACAATGGGATCTTCCCTAACAGTTCCCTTCTCTTCAGGCCTTTTATATTATTTTCCTATTAGGTGGAGCTTGAGTCACTCTAGTCATACATACCTTTACTACAATTGGTATAAAATCTTCTTGCTTTAAAGGTACATGCTAAAAAAAGTTCAGAGCGCATGCTCAGTGAGAGGTGGGCACACCTTGGAGGCGGGTAACTTTTGGGATGGAGGTGTGTTTTGGTATTATAATGAGGTTATAATGAACAAAGTTGACCCAGAGGACATGATGTTGTGTGTCAGTAGCCCAGAACGGGGCACTTCTCAGGATATAAATCAGAAGTAGGGCAGTAAGTCCACAGAACCCCCATTATTTCACCTCCTTGCTTCAGTGGATTCAATGCAGGGACCTACCATTCTTGTTCCTATCTTGTTCCCTGTCCCTGCAGTGATATCACAGAGCCTGGCCGTGGTGTCTCCACTCCGCTCCACCCTCCGCGTTCCTTCTCTTAGAGTCAGCATACCAAGCTCCCTTGGTGCTGCTAACATCTAAGCTTGCAGGTTATGTGGCTTAGGGAATTATTATGGAACAGATTCCTTGCATATCCCCTGCATTCCACACTGGAGGTTTGCCTCCCCTTAAGAGGGGGAGGGAACGTATCGATAAGTCACTTCCAGCAACCATTCCTCAACTCCTGAAGCCACCTCTGAGGGATTGTCCACACAATCTATGGAAACAGCCCTCCGGGTAAGCTGGAGACCTCGCAGCTCCCCATCCTCACCCAGCAAACACGTCTTCAGGCCTGCTCTGGAACCGCCTCTCCCCTCCCCTGCAGGCTCTCAGACCTCCACCTCCCCTCCTGAGAAGCAGAGCCGAAGGAAACGCGGGTTTCCGTGGCCAGACCACCACAGGCATCCCGCCTATTTCTGCCTGACCAAAGAAGCGCTCGGGGGCACCCAGAGGCCCGAGCCCTCCACCGCCCGGTGGGTGGGCTACCTTATCTTCTGGTTTTGCTTAAAACGGGAATCCATTTTGCAGAGCTTTCGAAAACCCCTCCCTGCCCACGGCTGGGGTATTCCGGTCCAGGTAACGGGTGATTAAACCCATTTTTAAACCACTTAAAACCGCTGACACCCAAACGACGCAGCGCTACCGAGCTGCTCCCTCAGGAAGACGGACGCCCTTCCCAGGCCACGCCCCCTGCCGATCCCTCCAATCAGGAGGCGGCAGCCGTGCCCACCCTCCCCCTCCGAACCTGCGCGGCGGGCAGCGCTCTCCCCGCCCTTTGCGCATGCGCGCCAGCCCGGCGCATGCGCGACGCCGCTGCGGCCGAGGGTGTTTGATTCCCGAGCGCAGCCAGCCGGGCCCGGGCCGGGAGATGTCGGTGGGGCAGGGGACGTCGGAGCCGGCGGACGGTAACGGTAGGTGCCCGTTTCGCTGGTAGGGATCCCGCGGGGCTCCGACGGACCGATCGACCGGGCGGGGGCTGAGGGGAGCGGGACCGGGGGGGTGAGGGTGGTGTGGTGGTGGCGGCGGCGGCCCGGCCCTGCGCATGCGCAGTGGGGGAGGCGCGGGCACGGCTGGGGGTCGGTGGGCTGCGGTGGATTCGGGTGTTTTGGGAAAGCGTGTGAACGCTCTCGTTTTCCGTCCGTAGAGTCGGATGTCTTTGAAATTGTCCTCCCCATCACCGTGCTTGTGCTGAGCGATGATGATTTTCTCCACGGCGATGCCGAGGAGCACGCGGTGTCGTTTCCAGAGTTGAAGAAGGAGGATGAGCAAGAGGTTAACTTGAACAGTGGCGTTTTCCTGAAAAGTAATGTGACGCCTTCAAATGACAGTAACAGTTTAAGCGTTTGGGAAGAAAAAACAGCTTCAAATAAGGATAGTCATACGGAATATTCTGAAGAAAAATGGGTTGCTGAGAGTGTGTGTAACGGATCAAAGTCACCTTTAAGTGATTGGTGTGATGCAGGCAAGGATAAATATAGTCAAAATTATGTGTTGCCTACATCGTCTTGCAGAACAGAGCTTACAGAGATAACTGAAACCAGTGTCGGAAAAGAAGGTGGTGGTGATGACGGCTTTCAGAAGATTCCTCCTCTCCTTTCTTCTGCTGGCAACGAGGGTAGAGATGAGACCATCAAGACAAGCAGACGGTTGACCGTGGCAGCGATATCCAGACATGAAGAGGAACTTGTTAGTGTTGCAAGTGTTCTTTCTGATGGTTGTCAAGAGGAACAACCAGAGATCCACAAGGAGATGGAGACAATTGTTGAAATGGAAGGTAACTTCTTAATAAGACTAGTGCAAGAGTTTAAGAAATCTGGTACATTTCAAGTTTTTGAGATGGGTAGGAAAGTGTATAGGAAGAATGCTAAAGCTGTTTATTTTACAGTAAGCATTTCAACATAGATTAATGTCGTATGCAGCAGAGGGAGAATATTGGCTGGAGTGTGCTTATTTCTTTCACCGACTCCTGTGAAACTGCAATAAATTGGTGCTGTTTCATTCTGCTGCAGTTTGCAAAAGGGTGGCCTTTCATTAGGGAAAACGATCTGAAAAAAAAAAAGCAGAAGGAGTATCATACTTGTGAGAATGGAGCCCTAGCAAAGCTAGGTGACAGTACTTTCAGAGGAATTCTGGCATAAAGCTGTTTCATTAAAAACCGTAAGGGATGCAGTGTTGTCCTGTGAAATTCAGAGCTTTGAGTGAAAAGAGGAATTGGACAGGAGGAGGCTTCTAACTAGGATTTCTTCTCTTAAAACATTATTTAAATGTTGGGGTGGGAAGCATGGAGAGAGATATTAGGAAAGAAGTGGAGATAGGAAGATATTAAGGAAGTAAAAGGAGTGAAGAGCAAGCAGGTCATCAGACAATTTGGGATTATTACTGCCAATTAATCATGAACATTGGTGATTGTATGAAATGTCACATGTGTGATTTCTTATCCCCCTGTAGATCCTGATTCTTCAGAGAATGGAGACAATGAAGCTAATAACAGAAAGAGAAGCAAATTTGAAGATGTAATTCTGACTTCTCTTTTGGAACATGGCTTGAAAGAAGAACGAAAACTTACTTATACGTGTTCTGCTCCATTTCTTAATAGATGTTCTTTGACTTCAGAAGAACTGCTAAAAGATGTAGGGAAACCAGAGATGAATGCTTCTACTTCTGCTGAATCAAATACTACTGGAGAGCATATTTATAAGACATTAACACCATTTCCTAAAAAAAGGTATCGGCAACAAAATGTTGTTTCTCCTCATGAAGACCCAAAGGAATTCCAAAGCCAGCAGACAGGTTTAGCGTGGCTAAGTAATAGTGTGACCATCAAACCTTTTTCTAAAGCATCTTGTTCTATAAATAAGCATGAAAGATTGAAGTGCAGGTTTTGTAGTTCTGTATATAAATGCAGTGCACATCTAAAGAAGCATGTTTATTCAGCTCATAAAGATAAGAAAATACATAAATGCTGTTTTTGTAAAAGAACCTTTTTCTTTTCTGCCAACCTTAAGAATCACCTTAAATTTCATAAGAAAATGACTAGATTGCAAAAGGCAAGAAGAAATAGAATAAATGCAAGAAAAGTTAGGCAGAGATCTAAAGAAAGAAAATCTGACGCCAAGAAAAAAGAAAGTAAATACGAGAAATTTTTCATCAAAATTGAAAGGGACTTTACACCTCTGGGTGTTCCAGTTACTTTTTCCTGCAAACTTTGTTTGTTTGCTTCATCAAATCCTAGAGTTTTTATTCATCACATGAAGGGACATAAAGAGAGACCACCTTACCAGTGTCCTCAATGTGATTACTCCTGCATTAGCTTATCCTACCTGTTAAATCACATGTACTGGCATGCTGGGTATAAGCTGTACCAGTGCAGGTTTTGCACCTTTTTGTCGTTATATTTTGCAAGCATGGTAAGGCATAGCTACATACACACAGGGGCTAAACCATATTCCTGTGAGTTTTGCCAGTCAGCATTCACAAGCACCACTGGGTTAAAGAGACACAGAAGATTACATGCAGGCAAAGAAACATGCCAAGGGCAGCAACTTGATGCCATAAGTGAAAGAAAGAGAACTCAGAGACCTTTAAAGAGTTATACATGTGATGAGTGTAACGTAGTGTTTTACACTAGAGGACATCTAAGCTTTCATAAGAAATTCCATGAACAGCTTAAGGCTACTGCTAATGGTTATACGAGTCAGAGCAATGAACATCTTAAAAGCAAAATATGCAAAGTTGCCAGTGATTCCCAGGATCATGTTTCTCTGTCTCTTTCTGGTAAAGAAAATGATTGTCTTAGTGGGGGGATGCTGGCTTCAGAAGTAGACTTTGAGCAGGCAGGTGATGTGCAGGGCAATGAGAAAATGTGCTCTGGGAAGAAATTCCCTGAAAACAGCCATGGAAGTGACAGTTTACGTATTACTGGGAATAGATCAGAAGTTCCTCTGAATTCATACAAAATGGACACTGTCATTTGCAAAGAGGAACCTCTCTTCAACTCCAAGGCCTCTGATTCACAAGATCAAGATGATGATGCATATAATGAATTTGTGGAAAACTTAAAGGATACGTGGCCTTCCAGTTTGTCTGCATTCAAAACGTACAAGTGCCAACACTGCAGTTATGCTACTGCTGTTCATAGCGACTTTAAGCTGCACCTAAAAATGCATAGAGATGAAAGGCTATATGTATGTAAAGAATGTAATAAGACATTTAAAACATCAAACCATTTGCAGAAACACAGCCTTATTCATATAAAGAATGGATACGAGTTTGGCCATTGCCTCTATGCAGATAGCCATTTAGAGAATCTTGAATTGCATCATGAAATCCATGTAGGCCTGTGTCCAGAAGGAGATTTTGGTTCCTCAGAAGGTTCAACCAGTGTCCATTCCTTGCTTGGTTCAGAAGTCTGTGGAGTACAGCCAGATGTCCAGTGGGGCAAAGAAAATGATTTGCTAGCACAAAGTCAGCCACGGTTCTATCAGTGTGCAGAGTGTGAGTACACTACTTACGTTTTAAGCAACCTTGAACTACATGTAAGAACTCACACAGGTGAGAAACCTTACAGCTGCAGTGTTTGTCAGAAGAAGTTTCGTACTTCCAGTCACCTGAAAAGACACAGGGTCACCCATTTTAATATGGAGCATCTCAAGTGCAGGAACTGCGACTATTCAACAAACAAATGGCTGTCCTTGAAACAGCATCTGGCTTCACACTGTTGTGAGGAAAGCTCATCTACTGGCTGTCTCTACGATCAAAAGCAGCTACCTGTCAAAACGTACACGTGTGACGAGTGTGGCTATTCCACAGCCCACAATGGTAACTTGAAGCCACACTTGAGAATTCATACAGGGGAGAAGCCATTCAAGTGCAATCAGTGCGCTGTTGCTTTCCGCACATCTAGCCACCTGAAACGCCACTTACTGACTCATTTAAAGTTGCACTGCAGAAGGTGTAAATTTTCTACGGTAGATAAACGTGCTTTCCAAAAGCATGTAAAAACACACAAAAAAAAGTACAAGTGTGTAAACTGTAATGTGATGCTGCCTACCAAAAAACTTTTGGAAAAGCATAAGCGGCATCATGGGCTTGGAATGTAAGTTTGGGAATTGCAAGTTGGCACTCAGTTCTGGGGAGGTTTGCATGTTCTGAATTTGTTTATTGCTTTACATTCCCCTGCTGTCCCTAGAACGATGGCTGGTGATGGACGCATCCAGTGTTTTGGTCTGGAGAGTGAAACTCAGGGTACTGGTTTACTTCAGATTCTTCTCAGAGCTTCATTTACGATTTGGCCGATGTTACCAGCTTAAACAGTTACTCTCTGCCACTTATTTTCTTGTAAAAATCAGTTAAAAAACCCCTTGACTGACTGAAAGAATGTTTAAAGGAAGGGAAGGAAGTGCACATTATAATTTATAGTAATAACTTCTCATTTAAAAATTTTCAGTGTGTTGGGAAGCTTAATGTTACCTCCCATCTGCTGATGGTTGCATTCCCTACTCCCAGGTTCTCCTGCAATACTTGAAACAGAAAAAAAAAATAGTATCTCACAAAATTACAGAAACAAAAGTTTTTTGTCATCACTGGATAATTGGGATATGAAAATGTTTTCTGTATGTGTGTATATATAAAAGGTTTGTTAGGCAGTTATTTTGTCTCTACTTTTGATAATTCTTTGAGTAGTCTGACAGAAATGGTAATATTGTCCTTAATCAGGTATTTTATGATACTGAGAATCCTTAAATTGATCTTCAATTTTATGTAAATGTCTAATGTTAATCTAGTATGAAATGCCTCATCTTTTCTCAGGCTGGTAGTTTCTGTGTTCTTTGTTTCTTAAAATAGACAACATCATACTTTTCAGAGAACTTCAATTTAACCACTTGCTGATATACTGCAAATACTACTTAGTTAGGCTGAAAACCTTGTCAGTATCTTGAACTGTAAAATTTATTTTTTTAGGGGTTTACTGTGCATCTAAAATAGCATGTATAAGGACCACTCGTGCCAACCAGCAGTTGTTAGCCTGGTATGGTGAGGGCGGATGGGTGCTTCTTCCACTTTATATTAAAATCTAGATAAATCTTTGCTTGTTTTACAGAGGTATGTGGTGCTAGAAACTCTTGTGTGGACATCACTGACTATAATACGCTCAGTGGTATTGATAACAGCGGTGTTACCCTCTTGTGTGAGGAAAAACAACGGCAAAGGGCTGGTGCTAACTGTCCCCTAATGTTACGGTTCAGTCCATGAAACAGCTGAGTAAACCTATAGCTTAATTTAGAGAATATAAACATGCAACTACCACTGCTTTTTTACTGCTCTCAAATGTATGCTTTTCTTTATAAATACAGATAATATCTTGCAGAGGCTTTCTGGTAACGTAGGAGCCAGGTTGGAAACGGTTTCCCAGAGAGGTGGTGGAGTCTCCCTCCTTGGAGATGTTCAGAAGCCGTCTGGACGTGGTCCTGGGCAGCCGGCTCTGGGTGGTTCTGCTTGAGCAGGGCTTTGGACCAGGTGACCTCCAGATGTCCCACAGCCATTCTGTGATTTGGAACGCAATTTTCCAAGAGTGGATTGAACTCAAGAGTGGATGCATGTATTTAAGGCCAGATCAGCAAAGGTATTTAAGTGATCTAGTTCTTTCTAGCTGTAGTAAAATCAGACAAGTAAGTGTCTGTGACTGAACCCTGGTAGTTACAGATGTCTTTCCTACAAGCTGGGAAGTCGCTACTTGGGAATGAGTGATTCAGATCTTGGAATGATTGAGCTAACTGCCTGATAGAGTTGTGAGAAAGAACAACATTATCCTGATATGAATAAAGAAAAGCACTTCTGGGAAATAACAACAGTGTTACACAAGCATGGAGGAATTTTTATCTGCATTACTGTACAATTCTGGTCATTTGAAGAAAAATTCAAAAGAACAGGTACAAAGAGGAAACAAAAATGGTGAAGAGGATTGTAAGCCTATATATCAGAGACTAGGAAAGCTAAATCTGATGGAGAATGATTGTTTACAAGTATGGTGTACAATGAGGAAAAAGGGAGCTCCATTTAAGGGGGATAAATTAATTGAAGGACATTTTTAAAAGAGTTTGTAAACAGCATAAGTTTCTTTTAGTTGTAAGAAAGAACAACAGAAGACATTTTTAAGCTGGAGCTTGATGAGTTTGTAAAAATAATTATTCCAGGTGATTGCCTCTAATAAAAATAGTATTTGATAACTCATGAGGTTCCTCTCTGTTTCTTATGCAATGCATTGCACTTTTGGGGACTGGAAGTGATTCTCAGTCTGCCAAGTCAGAGGCATTTAAATGTAAAGGCATACTTGTTTTAAAATAAGGGCACAGGCTGTTCTTGATTTTTTTTTTTTTTTGCTAGTGAAAGGTGTAATATTTTTTATACTTGCAGAGTTGTAACAAAAATCAAAGCCTTTCCCAAATCATACCGTGAAGCTTTCTGTTTCAACCAAAAAAACTTCCTTAATTTACTTTATGAATTTGGACCAAACAGTAAAATGTAGTAGGAAATCACACTAATGACAAACAACTTGAGCAAATAGGTGTCATTTTATCTGCCGTGCATCTACTCAATAAGTGAATAAAAGTTAAACGCGGGATGAAGTAAATGGATATAGGTGAATCGGACCATGCTGCAATATGGTTAACCACCAACCAGATTTATCTAAAACAGAAGAAAGGAAATACTATTTTTTTTTTTTTTTTTTTTTTTTTACTTTACTGTATGTTACTATATGCTACTACCTCAGTTTCCATTTGGACTAGAGTAAATGCACGTTTTTTCTCATACTAACAAAGCATGCTGTAAATGTAACGTTGGTGAAATCTGATTCTCTTTTGCCGTCCCCTTCCTTCCCCATTTGTGTCCCTTGGGGAATTTGACAGAATTTAATGAATCCTCGAGTTCATCCTTTTAAGAGGGTCCCTCTGCCGTGCGCACCTCCGGCCCACAGGGGGCGCTAGAGCAAAGCGCCTCCCCCAAACCTCCTGGTCCGACGAGACGCATCGCCCGCGCCTGCGCAGAGCAGCCAGCCGCCGCCCCGCCCCTGTGCGCCTGCGCCAGCCGTGCCGCCCCTCCCCTGCGCGGTCGTCCCCGTATCCCCCGTGCGCCTGCGCAGAGCGCGCGCCTCTCCCGCCCAGGGCGCCTGCGCGGGCTGTGGGCGGGCCCCGCTGAGGCGAGCGGCGTTCCCTTCTTCCCACCGCTTTTTCTCTGCGGGACTTCCAGCCCTTTCGCCGCCAAGATGCCGCGGATTATGATTAAAGGCGGTGTGTGGCGGAACACCGAGGTACGACTCTGCTCGCTTTAATCCCCCGAGCCCCAAGCGCTCGGCCCGCAGCGGCGGGCGGTGGCGGGAGGGGGGAGGTGGGGGGTGCCCTGCGCTAGTGCGCAGGCGCTGGTGGAGGGGTCGTAGTGCGCATGCGCGGGGCCCTCATGGAGTGGGGTGTCTTGTAACTGGGGAGACGGGGATCTTCCTGGGCCCTCGGTAGCGGGACATGTGGAGGGTTAGGCGTCTGCGGGCCGCTGTGGCTCTGGTGGGCTTGGTTCCTCAGTTGGCCTGGAGCTTCCTCCTCGCCCCCTGCCCTAGTGGGCAGAGGTCACAGATCGGTGGTGTTTCTCCTGAAGGCTGCGTGCTGGGGAGGGCAGGAGGCTCAGCCCCTGCGCGTGTCGTGTCCCTTCCCCCTGGAGAAACTGTCGTCACAGCAGCTGGAGGGGTTGTGTGGGCCGTGCTGTTCTCGGAGATGTCCCTTTCGCAGGCTGGAGTGTGTCTTACACTGCATAGGCGGGCTTCTTGTTCTCTAGGGGTATGAGGGAGCTGGAATCTCTTGCACTTGAAGACTCTTCCAAATGCGGAAATGGTGAAGATGGGTATGGGCTCTTCATCTGCAGCTTGAAGTGTTTCCTACACAGAAATTTATGTGCTGTTCAAAAAAAGAGCAGAGAACCCCACCCCACTCTCCCATTTTTGCCATCGCATGCTTTCAGAACTGCAAGCGATGGTGAAAAGAAAAATAATAACACAAGAAATCAAGGATGTCAGTTTTATTAGATACATGTTTAAAGCAAAAGGATGTACCCAACACTGTGTAAAATCCAGAACTCTGCCACTGTATACTGTGAACGCTAGGCATGTACGTAGTTCTAGAAAGCAGTGAGAAAAGAACAATAGAAGGTAAATGTACTGTGTGCTATATGTGCTTTTAACCACTTGTGACATATCAGCTATGTGCCAGGAGGCAGCTAAATTGGCAGCTAAATTGGGGCCAGCAGAGGATAGGAAGAACCACTGTCTGCGTACCCCATTCCTATGGTCTTCCATAATTGACTAATTTTGGTGGCTATTAAGAGAAACAGCAGTGCGTTAAATAGATCATTGTTTCACCATTTCTTGTGTACCAGAGATGAATTATCTCTCTTCGGTGCTGTTCTTTTGATTAACATTTTGATTATATGTACAACATTAAAAATACAGAAAGTGGAACCACTTCATATCAGGTCATTCGTAAAATGACCGATTACTTGCAAAAAAGTCTGCTAATGTTATCAGTATTACTACTGTATGCCATATAACACCAAGTAAATTTAAAAAACCGAGAGGACTTATTATTTATTTTTTAATAGAAATTACATTAATTGTTTCCTGCAGCAGCTCAAGCCAGAATTCATCATCAGCTTACATTTAAAGCTGCTGTGTGCTCTGAGAGATGTCCATGCTAGACAGAGTATCTGTTCTTGATGAGTAGCATCTGCATGGTACAGCTGAACAGATTCTGAACACAACTACAAGTACTTATTGGATACAGAAGAGGAACATCTGTGGTTGACAAGGCTGCAAGAATAGCTTTGATGCATTTAAAATACCACTTTCTGGCCTGTGAGGAAACCAGAAATAATGAACCCATTTATCTGGGGGGAGGGAAGAGAGGAATTGGTGGATGGATTGACAGACAGTTGATAGGACTTCTAGCTTTTGGTGAAATCTCAGTGCACACTTTGATGTATATGAACAACCTGCCTCCCAAGCTGAATCCATTATGTTTTGGTGGGGTTTTTTTCCCCCCAGAAGTTTATAAGCTTTGGGATCAGCACTTTTGGATGTTACCTTCTGAACATTAAAGTGATTTATTTTAAGATTTACTTGTAAAAGGGAAACTTACTTATTTAATAAAGATTTTTAATTTAATCTTTATTGATTTCATTGGCCTTTGAAATACAAATCCTCATTCATCTTGAGAATAAAATGTGGAAAAGAAGTAGCAGTGCTGTGCTGTTTCCACTGGGTCAGCCCATTAGATGAAATCCACCATGTTGTCCTCTGCTTAAGCTCAAACTTTCTGTTTTGCAAGTTCTTGTGATCCATAACAGTATTTTATTTTTTTTTTAAGGATGAAATTCTGAAAGCAGCTGTGATGAAATATGGCAAAAACCAGTGGTCTCGTATTGCTTCTTTATTGCATAGAAAATCAGCAAAACAGTGCAAAGCCAGATGGTAAGTGAGAAGTGCCATGTCTGAGAAAATGAGATTCATAATTAGTGGCAATTTAGAAATTACCACAGATTAATTTATGTCTATAGAGGAACAATAGTTTTAAGATTCTTTCATTCCTGCTATTGTGGATATTGCAGATTCTTATTGCTTGAAAGTAATTGAACAAAAGTAGCCAAATGTTCTCTTTGCCAGTGACTGCAGTGTTGGCAAATGGAGGATCACTTAAAATTGTGTACATTATTTTTTTCCCCATATTTACACATTTTTAATCAGTGAGTATTAACAATGAAGTAATATTGTAAGATATTGTTGTGGTTTAACCCTAGCCGGCAACTAAGCACCACACAGCTGCTCACTCACTCCCCCTCAGTGGAATGGGGCAGAGAATTGGAAGGGTAAAAGTGAGAAAAATCATGGGTTGAGATAAAGACAGTTTAATAACTAAAGCAAAAGCTGTGCATGCAAGCAGAGCAAAACAAGGAATTCATTCGCTACTTCCCATCGGCAGGCAGGTGTTCAGCCATCTCCAGGAAAGCAGGGCTCCATTACGCGGTGACTTGGGAAGACAAACGCCATCACTCCAAACATCCTCCTTTCCTTCTTCTTCCCCCAGCTTTATATGCTGATCATGATGTCATATGGTCTGGAATATCCCTTTGGTCAGTTGGGGTCAGCTGTCCCAGCTGTGTCCCCTCCCAACTTCTTGTGCCCCCCCAGCCTACTCATGGTGGCGTGGTGTGAGAAGCAGAAGAGGCCTTGACTCTGTGTAAGCACTGCTCAGCAGTAATGAAAACATCCCTGTGTTATCAACACTGTTTTCAGCACACATCCAAAATGTAGCCCCATACTAGCTACTGTGAGGAAAATTAACTCTATCCCAGCCCAAACCAGCACAGGTATTAATCTCTCTTACAGATAATTTTCTGATTTTTCATAATAAGAGTTTGGCTTGAGGATAAGTGTTTAGAAATTGCACTGTGGAATTTCACTTTATATAAAAAAATAGAATTTTAAAACTTATGCAAATACATGCAGTATGAATCTGAGAATCAGATTTGATTTCTTGAGTACTGAACTGCACATATTTGTTAGAATAATTCTGTATAAAGGTAACAGCACTGGCACAGTTAAAGATTAGTAAGATAACTGCTGAAGGATCCAGTCAAAACAAATCTACCATTTCTGGTACGTTAGGTTGTTGCAATTTTTACTTTTCCTTTTCTGGATTAATTTTGTGACTCCTTACTTTGCCAGAATAGAGATGTGGAAAGGAAGGAGAGGCAATAACTGTATGAAGAGTGGTGGATAAATAACACATTTTAAAGGTCCAATACATATGTCATAAAAATACTCTGGAGTAACATCCTTTTGTACAGAAAAAAACCTGTATTAAATTTGCATGACAAGATTTTGAAATCTCATTGTGATGATTTGGGTAAACACTGTTCTGAATTAATTCAAGACAAATGTGGATAGCTTGGCTCTATTGTCCTTATTTTTTTCACTTTTTAACAGGTATGAGTGGCTAGACCCGAGCATCAAAAAGACAGAGTGGTCACGGGAAGAGGAGGAGAAACTGTTGCACCTGGCCAAGCTCATGCCAACCCAGTGGAGGACCATTGCCCCCATTATCGGAAGAACTGCTGCACAGTGTTTGGAACACTATGAATTTCTGCTGTGAGTTACTGTTTTACTAGAGGTGCATACCAGGAACATCTGCAGAGTTTGTTGTATAGATGTGTAATTTCATTCTCCTGTGGTTCTGAAGTACGGTGGTTTCAAGTTGACTAAGTCCTTTTGTAAGCAAGTCCTTAAGGACTGTTTCTTTTCAGTCAATGTGTCTAGCTTGAAAGAAGCAGCTCCTGAAACTTGGGAGAGCAGGCTTGAGTAGCAATAGGTGTATATTTTCTTGCTTCTCCTCATTCTCGCTAGAGGAGTGTCAAGATTGATACTTTCTATGGGCTTCCGTTTCAGGTTTGTTTGGGTATTTTTTGACTGGCTGGTCAGCATGAGTGAGTGTGGGAGAGAGAATAAAAAAGACAGACATGTAGACATAAAACACATGTTGTTGAAACTGCTGAATGTGCAACCATCATGTCTGTATGCTACAGAGGTTTTTGTTAGGCCATGAGAAGAGAAGGAAAGTGCCGTTTTCCCTTGTGAGCTTTCTTAATTCTGGTGTGATTGGTTGAGTATAATGGGAAACATTCGATTGTTCATTTTGTCACACTGCTTGAATTCTTGTCCTTACTGTTAAAGATTACCCAAGGAGAGTTCTCTACTATTAGCTTTGTCAATATTGTATTTTATATAGTATTTTATTGTTGTAATGTAATACTATGTTGGCTTCTTTCTCTTGTCTAATATAAGATTATGTAACTGTACCACGTTCATCTTTTTTGCAGTACTTGTATAACAAGTTTAATGTATGATACATAGTACAAGGTTACTTTTTTGATCAGTCTTTGGGGTGTTTAAGGGATGATTATTACAAGCGTGGAGGAAAACAAAGAGCCAGTTGTGATGTGTACATACAATGTGTTTTTAGGGACAAAGCTGCTCAGAGAGACAATGAGGAAGAAACTGCTGACGATCCTCGGAAACTTAAACCTGGAGAAATTGATCCAAATCCAGAAACCAAACCAGCCAGGCCAGATCCTATTGACATGGATGAAGGTAAGATATGAGTTTGTTTACTGCTTTTGACAGAAATCTGGTTTCTTTGTTTTTTCTTTTTACACAGCCTCTGTACCCTGAGTTTGTTTTGTCTCCCCTTCTCTCCCCCCAACATTTTTTTTCTTACAGGTTTTGTCTTATTTCTGCATCTGGCCAGTCAGTTATACTTTTCCAGTTTTCTTTTCCTTTTCTTGGTTTGTTTCCTGCTTTTCATCTGTCTTTGTCATGTCTTGCCATGACTGACTGTTCTTTGCTTTGACAACTGCTCTGGTCGTTTGCATTCTTATTTCATTCTTATGTCTTATTCTTCATCTTCTTCCATCAGCTCATACCTCCCAGATGAATCCCTGCTGAAGCACAGGAGGACTACACAGCTTTTTTCCTTGCACATAGCAATATATTGAACTTAAAATGAACATTGCTAAAATTCCATGAGTGGAGCAATGGTGTTTTTGAATAGTCACAGGTTCAAAAGTGTAGCACTCTTGAATCTGGATGTAAATGAAATTAACAAATTCTATAATACAGTACTCTCTGATGAAGATGTAAATGAAATTCTATTTTCCTTAGTGTGGTCAGTTTGCCTCTTTCTATAGATGTTTTGATTTACTGTAGAAATTAGTTGAATTATTTTCAACATTAGGCATTTTTCCTTAAAGTATTCATTTCATCTGGGCAATGATTTATAAAATACATTGGAGCAACTTGGAGAAAACTAATTTAGTGATCATTCAGAATGCCTGTAAAAGCATTGATTCATTCAGCTTTTAAAGATTGCTTTCTGGTCTTAATGTCACTTTTTACCTTACTCCCATCCTTTAAGTGCAAATTCATTTATCTGTATTTATCTGCACTATTGTAGATGAACTTGAAATGCTGTCTGAAGCTAGAGCTCGTCTGGCTAATACACAGGGAAAGAAGGCCAAAAGAAAAGCAAGAGAGAAGCAGTTGGAAGAAGCTAGGTAAGCCTATGCTTAGTTTCATGTATTGGGACTGCTTTTATTGACTGGAGCATTTACAATGCATAAAGTCAGGCACAGCCTTAAGTCATTGCAGAATCGGACTTTTTGATAGTCATTTGTGACAAGACCTTCATTCTTGTATAGATGTCACAGCAGCAACTGAAAAAAGTAGTACCAGATCTTAGGATACAGGAACCACCTATAGGTATGCACTTTAAATCACATAGTATTACCTTTTCCTTAGACGGCTTGCTGCTCTCCAGAAAAGACGAGAACTTCGGGCTGCTGGAATTGAGATCCAGAAGAAAAGAAAAAAGAAGAGAGGTGTGGATTATAATGCAGAAATCCCATTCGAAAAGAAGCCTGCCCCTGGTTTTTATGATACATCAGAGGAAAACTACCAGTCCCTGGATGCAGATTTCAGGAAGCTACGTCAGCAAGACCTGGATGGAGAATTAAGATCGTAAGTGTGTGTTATACTAAGGAGGGAATAGTATATTTGAAAAAAAACCAACATATATGTATCTAAGTGTTAAGTCCTGGAAATGTCTGAAACATAATGAGGGCAGGAGTTGTATTTTCCATGGAACAGATACTAGTGCAGGTTGCTTCTGCCTTTTCAGTCTCCTGTATTTTTTATGTTTCTAAAAGGTCTAGTTGACCTCTTTTCCATGAGAATAAAGTTCCTCATGCACATTCTTGCTCTTTAAATTGAAATCTTAATTTTTTTGAGGTACATTTTCTTTTAGCAGTAGATTTGCTTGTGTATTTGCAGTCCTTTGCTTACAGGAGTAGATTTTACTTGTTGTTGTATTACTTTTGATGGAATTGTTCTTAAGTAGAATTTCCTTAGGTTGATTTCTTTCCCTCCCCCAAAAAAATCCCAGAACATGCAGGTGAGAAATTAAATGCCCATCTTCATCATGAGCAGTATGGTACGTATTTAATTGTACTATTGCATTTCCCACTACTTCTGCCAACTGCTTTTCACTGAGAGAGTAGGTCCGGTACTACATATGATTTGCTTTATTAGCTTGTGATCTAATTGATTCTTTCTGTATGGCTGTTAGTTCAGACAGTCTGGCAGGAGCTTCAAACTGAAGCTTGTGATTTCACAGGCTGACTCCATTGCTGTTTGAAGAAAATACCATTTTAATAAATGCTGAAGAGAAATTGCTTCCCATATCCCACAGAAATTGTTTGTCTTCTCTTAGCAGCTGCTGGAGAAAAAGGGACTGTTCACATCCTCTGATTGTTGCTATCTGAATTCTTGGACTGACATTTTCTTCTTGCTCCAGTGACCCTGTTGATTGTAGCTGAAGCAACCAACTGTTGCTTAATTCCACAGTTTAGAAGCATTACACTGCTTTGTTGTAGGTTCTGCTGCAAGATCTGCAGACCATATCTCATCACTTAACATCTGCGCGACAAGGTGGTTCACTCTTCCTGCAACATGTCTTATTTCAGCATATCCAACTTTTGATTGGGGCGCATGCTTTTTGCTTGTTTGTTTTACTTTGTAGATGTTCTGAGTGTTCTAAAATGATTCTCTTATCCATAATGACAGTGAAAGGGAGGGAAGAGAGCGCAAAAAAGACAAACAACATATGAAACGGAAAAAAGAGTCAGACTTGCCTTCAGCTATTCTACAGACCAGTGGTGTGTCAGAATTTACCAAAAAAAGAAGTAAACTAGTGCTTCCAGCTCCTCAGGTAAGCTGCTCATTGATCAATGAGCAACTTGTAAGGCCAATGCCAATCAATGATTTCTGCTTTATCAAGTGAATCTCGTGGTTGTATTTTATCTCACTATGCCATGGAATTTTCTCTTTTAAAGATATCTGATACAGAACTTGAAGAAGTTGTAAAAGTAGGCCAGGCAAGTGAGATTGCACGCCAGACTGCTGAGGAATCTGGAATTACAAACTCAGCTTCCAGCACTCTTCTGTCTGAATATAATGTGACCAACAACAGCATAGCACTAAGGACTCCCAAAACTCCGGCTGCACAAGACAGGATCCTTCAGGTAGAGTATAAATGTAAAGAATGGGTTTTTAGTTCTAGTGCAGTGGTCAGCTGAATAGAAGGTGTAAGCACCATGGAAACATTCCTTAGATTATGTGTGGTACTGGGACTTGAACTGACACATGATCTCCAGGATGTACTGAAAGGCATAGAAGCAGATCCATTTCTATCTGATCAGTTGTCAACATGCTTCAGAACGCTATGATACTTTTTTTTTTTTATTATTATATATTGTGTGCAACTTTTAGCATTAACCATTCTCCTGGTGTCTTTTATAATTTCTCCTTGTCTTGGGTACCTCTCAGCATCAAAGATGTATGTGGTGTTCATGTCCTTAAAACAATGTCTTTTATGTGTTTCCTGCTTAGTTTTGCTGTTCAGCTTTTATTTCAGAAAACAAGAAGTAATTAACTGCAACAATGCAAGAATATTTTCCAAGTTCTTTATTGGCTTAAAACCACTTAAGACAAAGATTGTTAAAAAACTTAACCCTTGCAACCTCTGAATTGCAGTTTTGTTACACTGACTGTGTGAATGTCTGGGTTCTTTCAAAAACTGGTGGTGTTGGGTAATGTTTTGTTTAGTGTGAGGAAATGCCTGAATGTAATCAGTGCAGCTAGTGTGTAAAACAAACAAAACCCCACCCCAAAACAAAACAAAAAAAACCCGCTGTGTTGATAGTGAGCTGTATTTCAACAGTTTCATGATAGGAGAAAAGAAAAAGTTCCTGACTCTACAGATTGTGACCTAAGTCTCTGTGCAGTGTTTGCAGGGACAGTCACATTCACCTTCAAATGGAGTACTCTGAGATCAGATATGTCATAGTATGATGAATATACACAGTTCTGTAGATGGATAAGTAGTCTTCTGTGAAGATAATTGCTACATGCAGTAGTTCATTAGCTCATTTTCAGAGTGCCTTGTTGTAAAAAGGAAAAATAAAAAATAGAAGGCTATTCATAAAAGCCCCAGTTGAGTAATGGACCAAAAATCTGAATGGCAGCCATCTCTTTTGGAACATTCATTTTGAAGTGCAATTTGGATAAGCTTCATTCATGTTGGATTTCAGAGTGCAAGTGTGTTGTTCCCTCTGAAAATGAGGATCCTTAGGATGACTTGAGTATTCAGTTACTAATAAATCTTGGAGGTTTATGGAGTCTAGCAAACTGAAGGAATTTGAAACATTAAGTAACCCACTCATTTTTGCAACTCCAATTTATAATATGTTTTGCTGGAGATGAAGATTTCAAGGAAATGATCCCTTTCAGTGGAACAGTAGGGTTTGTAAATACTAGCGTATGGGTGTTAAAAATTAAGTGTTAAACATTTTCCGCAAACTGATTGATATTCAAATAACTCTTGAGCTGTTCTTACTGCTACTCAATCTGTTAAACATGTATAGTAGAGTGTGACTGTGAAAGTCTTGGTGATGTACTGCATGTGTTGCCTCTTATACAGGAAGCCCAGAATTTGATGGCTCTCACAAATGTGGATACCCCCCTGAAAGGAGGTCTTAACACTCCCTTGCATGAAAGTGACTTTTCGGGGGTAACACCACAGAAACAGGTTGTTCAGACTCCAAATACTGTGCTTTCCACACCCTTCAGGTAAAGCAGACTCTTTTTTCTCATGGGTACTTGGCTGGGCATGTATCTAGTGGAGGTGGGTGGAGGGAGCGGATTGCAACATGTGAAATAGTAGGTTATCATCAGTGCTTCAAAACAAATTTTAACTTGCTTTTATTTCAAGCCCTCTTGTACAACTTTCTCTTTCTCTGTGTCTTTCACAAGCTCAGCCATGCCATCTTCATCTATACCTGTACAGTGTATAGCTCACTGGAGTTTTGGTCCAAAATGAGGTCTTCTGTGGTCTGGAGCAATATAAATTATACTGAAGTAATACAGCAGTATAAATAGTAAGATGGAGTGTCATTCTGTATGTGGATCCTAGCCTTTCCAAAGTATTACCTCTGAGTCGAAGGTGTGGGAGGTCCCTTCGCCAAACCCACACTGAATTTTTGAAAAGCTGGAGTAAATATTTTATAAGCCGTATATATCCAAAATAAAATATTTCTTATATTGCCAACCTAAATAGTATGGAATTGCTGGTTTAACTCTTACAGTGAGTCCTGAATAAATATATATCCCACAAATGCCAAATACCATACAGCTAGAAAATATTACTTGGTACATTTTGTCTGTCAATTTTTTCAACTTAGGTTCTAATTTTACTTGTATCATGCTAGTAGGAAAAGTGGAGAATGCAATAAAAGGGACCTTTATGGCAGCTTTTCAAAAGCAGCTTTATTTTGTTGTTTAAAAGCTGTGTGCAAAAGCCCTGCTCTTTTAATTGGATCTACATAAATGAATCCTTTTCTGGAGATCTATTGGCGTCAGTGCGGTGTAGAATGAATGTAGAGTTTGGCCTGGAGTGATCTGGCTGTTCACTTGGGTTATTTTATATTAAAAAATGTAAGGACATTCTAATTTTGTTGTTTGTTCGGGTTTTATTTTTTGGTGGTTGTGGTGTTTTTTAACTTCTGAAGTTCAGATTTGCACATGTAAATATGGTACCTATGTATCAACTTGGCTTGCATGCAGAAATGCTGTATCAGTGTGAAAATGTAAGACCTTGAGCAGAGAGAAAAAAAAAATCCATTAAGTGGTTAAAAATAAAACAAAGGGAAGCCATAACTTTTTAAGGAGGCAGAGCAGTGAAGCAGAGCCATCATCTTACTTAGACCAAAAGAGCAAATATTTAAATTTAGTACACCTTTTTTACCCTATGATGGTATGAAATTTGTAAGATTTTTATGGAGGTTGTTGCCTTGCATTAGGTTTTTTGTTTTGTTTTGTTGAGTTTTTTTCCACATCCTAGTTATAAGAATTTTATTAAAAGGTATTAAGTTGAAAATTGTAATAGGGTTTTAAATCTGCATGGAACTGAGACAACTAGAAAAAAACAACACGCTTACTTGGAAATTTTATGCTGAGTTTCCAGAAGAAACAACTAATTCTGCTAGTAATCAACAAAGTAAATATATCCCATGAAACATTCATTTGAAAACATAAAAATTAGTTTTTCTAGTTTTTTTGCAGGTGTTTCATTTTGCTTGTATTTGTTGTCCTAAATGAGAGTTCATAAAAATCCGTGAACAACCTCAAGCAAGAGGAAAGTATCACTTGCCTCTCACAGACATACCCAGTAAATAAGACACTTGTATCCCTTTAAAAGAGGACCAGTAGCGTGTCAGGCCTTATATACAATTGTGTTTGTCCACCACTATGTCATCTTACTGACACTACAGAACTACAGTAACTAGTAGTGGAAATGATGTATTTAATCATCTTGTCCAGTCTGTCTCTGCCAGGGTTATTGTCTACAGCACATAACTTGTTATTACTGTCTGAAAATATTTACGTAAGCATAGATGAGTACCATAATGTAGGCTTTTCTCTAAAAGCTTTCCCTCTTCTTTCCCTTCTTTTTCCCCTTTCTTTGAGACACTTAACAGTGTCTTAACAGTTTATTATTATTATCATCACTATGTGAAACCTCATTATAAGTTGGCAACAGAAAACTTGTGACTATATCCAAGACAATGTCTGCACGCCTTTCATGTAGTAGGTTATTGGGATAGAGAACGATATTTCTTCCCAGTCTAGAGGAAAAACAACTGAGGCCCACAGAATCTTAAAACTTAATCTGTCTTGCCTAATCTTAAGTGCTTAAAAGTAATTATTGTAATGTAATTACTCCTTCAATAATCAGTGAAAGCAAAGAGGCATCTTCAGAGTGATTCATTCAATTGTAAGATGGGACAGCTGTTAAGCCAGATGAATTCAGAGTGAATGACTTGCCACAGGTGGTAGGGAAATCAGAGCTTTTGCAATTAAATCCTGATGACTGTATCCCAGAATAGTGCCTGGTGACTGGATAATCTCTTCTCTCAAAAGTAGCAGTGGGAGTTTGTGTTGATGTAGCTCCTGAAACTTCTCTTAACATAATGATGTGCCTAGATTTCAGCTTGACAGGTCCTTGGTTACACCTTGACAGGTTTAAACAATTTATTTTTTTGATTCTTCTAATTGCATATTGTAGTTTCACTGACTCCCAGGAAGAAAATCTAGATTGAATTTATTAACAGTATTTATGTAACTTTTTGCAGCGTTCCGACTTTTGTAAGTAGAGCTCTTTAGGGAAAAAAATAAATTACCGTATCTGCACTTTCTCTAGAACACCTTCTCATGGACCAGAAGGCTTAACTCCTCGTGGAGGACTAACTCCTAAACCTGTGGTTGGTACAACTCCTGGTAGAACTCCACTGCGTGATAAATTGAACATCAACCCAGAAGAGGGAATGGCAGATTACAGTGACCCATCTTATGCAAAACAAATGGTAAGAAGTACTTAAGAAGTGGAAACCAGTGCTCTTATTAATTTTCAGGATCTTTAGTTCTCATCTCCTGAACAGAGTTTTATTTTACGATAAAATCAAGTGTTATTTCTACCACTTCTCTACAGGTCTATACTCATAACCTGATAAAATCAAATCTTTATTTGAAAGAACAGAAATCTTGCCACTTAGACTGGCTTTCAGTGTGCTCAGTAAAAGCACTCTAAAGCTATTTATCAAAGAAGACATAGTTAAGTTTCAGTCCTACTTGTATCTTTGAAGCTGAGCAGGAAATATATCTGGAGCAAAGATTCATTTTTCTTGCAATCCTGTGCAGCCCTCAAATCCCTCGTCATCTTGGCTTCCCGATTTACCTGCAGGACCTTTTCATCAGTCTGTCGTGTTGACAACATTGAGCTAAAGGAGTTTAATTTTTGCCATTAGGAGCACTTGGTTTTGAGATATCCAGTAATCTGAGTCCCATCCAGATTCTTTCATCGCCTTTGACAACAGATGTTTCCATTCTTGGACATTCAGCCAGATGTACCCTGCCAATTAGACATGGTATAAAAGGGCATATACCTAATAGGTAGCACCTTGGGAACTCCTTTTATGTGGCTGATTCTGCAGCCTTAATTGCGGCTTTGGATATCTCCCACCAGGGCTATTGACATTTTTCTTTTGGGGCTAGTGAAGGATATCCACTTCAAATTTCTGGCATGTTCTTCTCACAAAAATAACTCTTCAAGTTCAGAATTTCAGATTTTCTCTTAGCTCGAAGGACAAGGCTTATTTGATGTCCTTATACTTACTTTGGTTCTGTCTTAGCCTTTTTATAGTAAAAAGTTTTTTTGCTGCTAGAAGGAAAACTGAGGCTTCAATTTCCTGCTGGACTCCACTGGTTTCCAGATCTGGTGCTGTTTGTCTGATTTTCGTACAGTGCTGCAATCCCCAGATTTGTGAGCAACTGCAAGGAGAAAAGTTCCTGTTAGGTTTGCAAATACCCCTGTGTCCATCGTTAGTGTGGACGCATTTTCACATTATTTTCAATTTCTTCAAAGGTATTTATATGAGTCTCTGCTGTTGTACTGAAACTACTGGGATGCAAAGGTGCCATGCTGTTGTTTTACTTGAGTGTATTTCAGCCTGTTTGATGATTTGATTAGCTATCTTTAAGAAAGCTGTGTGTTGGGTTTTTTTTAGTTTCTGTCCTTAATAGTGCATAAACTTGGGTGGTGGTCTGTAGCCAGCCTGGATTAGTAACATGCCTCTTTTGTCAGACTTTGTTTCTCTTGGCTTTGTAGCAGACTAAGATGGCCAGATGATATTAGTTGTATATTGTTCGTGTCTGTTAATGTAGATGAATGGAACTTAGTGCATGAATCCAGAAGCATTATATCTTAGTGTTACCTAAACAGGAGAGAGAGTCTCGTGAACACCTGCGCCTTGGACTCATGGCCCTTCCTGCTCCAAAGAACGACTTTGAGATTGTTTTGCCTGAAAATGCAGAAAAAGAACTTGAGGAACATGAAGTAGATGAAGCCTTTGTAGAAGATACTGCTGATATAGATGCCCGCAAGCAGGTAGGTGTGTGTGATGCCAATAGTGCCTTTTGTTTAAAATAAAATGTGTTCCTTGTATGGTTCCCATAGTTTCATACCTGTTTAGTGGAAGTGGTACAGCTTCTACAGGATAACAAAGTAAAATGTACCTGTTTTCTTTGCTGCCATCAGAGTATACACACACAGAGGCTAAATCAGTTTTCTCTCTCAATTCTTTTCTTAATTTGTTAATGTTATGTATCACATGTCATTTTCTATGATGAATTCTCTTAAGAGTGTCTTTGTCCTACCTCCTGCATTTGTCCCCCAAAAGATAAAAATATAATTGAAAGCATTTTTCTACAGAGGTATGTGGTTGATATTAAGCATGTGAGAATTGTGGGGTTTTGTTTGGTTGTTTTCTTTTTTTTTTTTTTTTTTACCCCAGTTTCAGGTTATTCTCTCAAGTCTCTCATTAAAAGTTACTGTTTGTGAACTGTAAGACAGGTGTATACAAATTCAGGCAGACTGATAGCACACAGATAGAAATCTGCTATGCAGTGAGTTGGTCCCTTTTGTATGACTTGTACCACAGGATTACCCAGACAGCCAGGTTGTGAATGGGTCCCTGTTCTTTTGTTTTGTGTTGCTTCAGAATCAAGGAAGGCTGGATAAAATGCCAGCATAAATTCTGCTGGTTAAATAGCTGTACTGGCCAGTAATTAGAGACACTTTACGTTTTTCTCTTTATAAGAAGAGTCTCTTTTCCTTTTAATGCTTACCCTAATTTTTGTGATGCAAATCTGTTTTTGTTATATACCTTCAAATAAATGGGGTTTTGGGTTCAGAGGGGTTTTTGCCAATGACTGTGCTTTGACAGGTGAACAAAATATTTTGAAAAATCCTATGCTCTGATGTCTTCTAATACTATAAGCATTTCCCAGAATTTGATTCCTAGCATGTCCTTTTTGGAGAGGAACACATTATATACATATATATGCATATCTTGTGCATACACACCCTAATAAAAAGTCTGAATAAATACCGATAATTTATGTGTGTAGAACAGATAAAAGAATTTGAGTTGTAATATCATACAAGACAGTAGCATCCTGCCTTTCAAATAAGGGTGTGACATGGCTGGGATTAGAACATGGAAGATCTTGGTCATTGTTTCTGAAGTTTTAGACAGCAGTGCCTTATCATGTTATTTATTGCCTGGAAGTGGAGTGTAAAGAGAAATCTCATGTGTTTACACTTTCACAAGTATTGTTTTAGTGAAGTAGTTACTTTATGTTATTGAAGAGGACAAATAGAGTCCTGGCTGCAAATTTAAGAGTTTTTCTTTTCATGGTAGATTTCGTGTCTGGAGAGTTAGAGCGGTTGTCAAACCTGATGTGGAAAAATTTGTAAAGAACGAAGTCTGCTGGTGTTAAAGCTGAAGGAGAATTTAATGACTGGAAATGACTTTTTAGGATCTCTCCTCTTGGAGCTAGTCTGCTGTGCTCTTCCCATTTATTTTAGAGACAGTAAATTATGATGTCATCACTTTATTTGTCTCTGGCTTCATAACATGAAGTCTTTAAGGAATCTTTGCTGCAGCAATCAATTAGTTTTCATATCATACATTTCTAGGAAGAATCTGATTGTATTACAGTAGCTGGAGTAACACTTAGCTTGTTTGCCTAGGCTCTCCGAGATGCAGAGCGTGCAAAGGAACTGAAGAGAATGCACAAAGCTGTTCAGAAGAATCTGCCACGGCCCTCAGAAGTAAGTAGAAACAAAATTGGCTTTTAAGGAAAAAAAAACAGAAATAAAGGTTTTAACCATTATAGGAGGAAAACAGTCTAAGCAGATCATGAGAGAATGAAATCTTTATTTGAGTGTGCTGATTTTAGCACTATGGGAAACTTTCACAGGGAAATTGTCATGAGGTATTTCATATGCACAAATGAAAGCACAGTTGGGTGTTCAGGTTGCTGTATGTGTGTCACACCGCAAGGGATTTTGGCACCTGTTCTGCATGGTTTAGCTGATATATAAAATTCATACTCAGGTGGAGGTATATGAATTTAATGTGATCTTTGGTGTATATGATGCTTATGAACTTTTTTTTATTCCTGGGCAGGTTAATGAAACAATACTGAGACCCTTAAATGTGGAACCACCTCTAACAGACTTGCAGAAAAGTGAAGAGCTAATAAAGAAAGAGATGATTACTATGCTTCATTTTGATCTTTTACACCACCCATTTGGAGAACAGCCTAGTGGTAAGAAGGGGAAAGGCCCAGGATTTGGAAGCAACAATGCAGAACATATGGCTTACTTGGAACAAAATCCTTATGAGAAGTTCTCCAAAGAGGATCTCAAGAAGGTGAGAACTGTGTGGCCTAATTAGCAGTGACCTAACATCTCTCTGTGTCATGATCTGTAATCTTGCAAAACAGGTGGATTCAAGCCTGCACAGACTTTGCTTGGGACATCTCCAGAGGGTTGTATGAAGACCTGTAAGGATAATTCAAGTGCACATTCTCTTTCCTGTGAGCTAATGTTAATGTAGGCACTCAGCAGAATGATGAGGATGCTGTATTTGTCCAGAGACATTGTCTTTTGGATACAATTTTGAATGTGGTGTGATTGTTTATCGTTTTAAGTAAGGGTGGGAGCTATAATACCCCAGCAGTTACCAAATTCTACTTTGCTGTTTCTGGAAATTGATGTTAAATCATTGAGACTTTAACTAGGTGTGATACCGCCTTCTGCTGCCTGTGTAGTTTGTTAATCCAGAATTACTAAGCATTTTTTTCATAGCAGTGCAGGCTAAATATGACAGCGGTAGCCAGCTTATAACTTGGAGCAGTAAATCAAGTTGTTTAATTATGCTTGTCAAGCTTGATCCAACAGAGCTGTGCTAGTGCAGAGACTGCTGGGCTATGGCAACTGATCTTAAAGCATACCTGCTTAAAAAGCACTGAATAGGCAGAATGGGTTGTTGCTGGATGAAATGAGTAGGCTGTCTAGGCACTCCATCCTGTTTTGCATTGTAATCCCAAGTTAAATAGCAGTCCTTTACCAAGGGTTCCGGTTCAGGTTGTTCATTTATTTAAGCAGCTACAGATGTTGCCTTTCGCTGCCAAGTGACAGATAGACAGTTCAGACACACAGTGCTGTGGTTAGCTCTTCAAAGAGTTTCACCTGTGAAGTCGTGCCAGTAACCTTTGACCAAATGCTTACAGGAATAAAAATGAGCGAAAAGGACAAAATCATGTGCCACCAAGTCATCTGTTTTATGCAGACTCCTGCTATCCAAGACTTTCATTCTGACAATAGCTGTGCTATCTGTACACCTAAATCCCCTACTACTTTAAAGTGACTCTAAAGATATACAAGCAGATTTTAAATCCATCTCCTTGACCATATCTGACCAATGAATCAAGAGCCTAAAATGAGAAGCACTGAACAGTATGTACTTCCAATTTGCTGTTAAATGAAAAATTATACTTGAAGATTTCTAAGCAGGAGAAGCTAAAGATGGAAAATACAGTTAGATCATGAATTTCACTGCCCTGCCAGTGTCAGATTGTTCCCTTAGGAACACTCTGAGTGCTTTCTCTGGTTGTTTTGAAGTGCAATGAGAATTAGTTTTTCTATCACTTCCCTTTAGAGACTATTACACAGTCTAGTAGTTTTTGTGTGGAAACTTTCTTCAGAGTCCCTGGAAATTTTGTTTCCTAAATGATGGGCAGAAGTTTTTTGCATCCTTGTTCCTGCTTGCTCTCTAACATTCAGCATAATATTCGCTCTTTGTCTAAAATCAAATTCAAACCAGGAAGTTTTCCTATCTCTGCACTCTCATCTGGGGCTTGTTTATTTTCCTTTATGTCTTCATTTGCTTTTAGAACACCTTCCTACTAAAATCCCTTCATAAAAATGCTCCTTTCTTTTCCTGATGTGTAGTGCTCTTTTGGGAAGGATTAGCAGTGGTGCTAAGCATAGTATGCTGAGCTCTTAAAGCTGTGGAACTGTTTTGGTGCCACAACTAAATAGCCCTAAGTAGTTCCTCACAGTGTACAAATAGAGGCTAATTGAAAGTGAACCTTTATAAGAGTTAGCTTTGTCAGGTGTGGTTAGAGTACTCCTATTTTATCTGTCTTGACCATCAAGGACAAGTAATTAATTTTCCTTTCCTTGGTATCGCTGGAATCATCTAATCTAGTGATAGCTGAATTACTTCCTGGGCAATATGCTATTATAAAATATATGTCTGCTTGCTGATACGGAAATTTCTGGTGCACATATAAATCCTGTTGAAAGAGCGGACAGGTGCTTAAAACCAATGAAGTCCTGATTGGCAAAGATTTTTTAGTTACAAATAAAATTGGAAGGACTTGGGTGCCTATGGAGTTTTGTGGGCCAGGCTCTTTGTCAAAAATATTAAGAGTTGTGAGAACAACATGAATCTTTTCAGTTCACTGTAAGCTACTTTGGAAACTAAACTGGAAACGGCAGAATGTTCCTATCTCACTAGTAGTTCTCTAGCAACACAATGTGTGTTAGTTAAAGTCAGAGTAGTATTTCCTGCAGTGGAGCTTATACCGCTCACCCGTTAACATTTAGAGTTGACTTTCTAGGTTGTGTGGAGAAGGGCAAGCAAAAGGAAATGAAAAGTGATTTTTGTTTCATAGAACAGCTGCTTCTGTCTGTACAGTACTCCCTCCCCTCAAGGTCCTTGCTTTTATCTCTTCTTCTGCAGCAAGATGAAGTATCTAGCTGTGCCACAGCTTTCATTAGCTACAGAAGAGTGATGTCAGGTTTGGCCAAATTATATAAAATGAGGGATAGTTGCTCTGTGAGTAGCCTTCTAGCCTGGGTTTCATTTATAATCCACAGCATCTGTGTTAGATTTCATAGTTAGCTTAACCTGATGGTGAGCTTTTAGTATGAAAAGAGAAACCGCCCCCATGAGTTGCACACTGAAGGATTGAAAAGAAGAGGAATTTTCTTGTATCCTGTGTATTGTAACTGCAATTTATTTCTCATCATTTCCAACAGGCCCAGGATCTACTGGCACAAGAGATGGAAGTGGTAAAGCAAGGAATGGGGCATGGAGAGCTCTCAAGTGAAGCTTATAACCAGGTGTGGGAAGAATGTTACAGCCAAGTGTTATACCTGCCTGGACAGAGCCGCTACACAAGAGCTAACCTGGCCAGCAAAAAAGACAGGATAGAGTCACTTGAAAAGAGGCTTGAGGTCAGTGTCACTTTTTTCTGCTTTTTGCACCTGCGGTTTTTTTTTTGTTTTTTTTTTTTTTTTTTTTTTTTTAGTGTCTCCCCATGTGTTTTGGTTTTTTTCTGTGTAAGAGTTACAGGTTATTTTATAAAGCATTCAGGTCTTTTGGTGGGACTCCTTTGGAAAGGCTGTTGAGGAATTCACCTGGGGAGTTCATAGATGTTCCTGAGGTGTTTAAATCACCTTCTCTCATCCTCCTCGTTTTCTTAAAATATCCCTAGAGTATTCCCACACACAGTTTCTCTTTGCAGTATTAGCTGTAACGCTGCCTATCTTGCCTACTTTATTCTCAACTGGAGAGAAGGTCAGGTTCTGCTCTTTCTTAATTCCATGTGGATTTTTTTACTGTTTTCTCGTTCTCCGCTGTTAGCAGATCAGATACCTCATCTTTGTAGTTTTGCACTTTGTCCCTGATAGCAGCCAGTATGAGATACTTCAGAGGAGGATGCTTAAAAACAATGTCTTTGTCCCAAAACTCCTCTCAAGTTCCCTTTCCAACTTAAGCTTTGGTTTCTGACTGACTATTACATACATGAAGGTCCGGATAGTCCTGAATTCTTGCCAGACTGGCATCCTCTACCAGTTCCAGTGATTCCCTCCAAAAAAAGAAAGCAATGGATGTTTGTGATCCAGTTCCACTTTATCAGGAAATAGCAGGCTTCCTTATGAATGCATTTTAAATTCAAATATTGAGTTTGCTGTTGTGCATTTGTGTAACTAATATTTTCTGCAAGTACAAAACATCAGAGTTCAGATAGCAAAGTCTTACCAATTTGTCTGCATGCAGTTTGAGTACTATGGCAGGGCAGTGGTACTAAGGGACCAAGAACTTGAAACTACATCTTTTTCTGCTGAGCTGTAGAGTACAGCATTCTCCAGTGTCAACCTGCTTGCATTGGTTTATTCAAAATGCAACAGTCACAGGCCTTAACTCTATGAGGCATTAAGATTTGGTAGGGTGTCCTGGGATTGAGGGAGTTGTGTGTGGAGAGGAAATCATTTGAGATAGTGCACTAAGAAGGAAATTCAAACCCTTTGACACTAATTTCCTTGTTCCCTCTCTAGAGTTTGACCCAAACACTCCACACAAAACACAAAAATATAAAGCTTTCGTGATAAAAAGTAAGCTGGTTTTAAATGGTTTCTTCCCACAGCACATGTGTTTGTTCAGACTTGCAGTAAGTCATTAACTGTTTTCCAAAACACCACTTTAGCCTAAAAGTCTCTTTAAATTATGCAGGCATCAGATTATTTTTTTCCATGGTAAAAGGAAACTTTTAAAAAAAAGTTCTTCTGTATTTAACATCAACATAGCTACTGTTGCTAGAAGTAAACCTCCTCAAACAGCTACTACCACAGAAATAACATGAGAGAGAGGCTGAATTTTCACTTGCTTCATACACGTGAAATACAGCGTGAACGTGTGTTTTGTAAGGTCTGTCAGTCAAGAATGTCATCCAGGTATGGACTCCACAGTTGTTAGTCAACTGCTCGGGCCAGGAGCAGTTCACCTGCACGTAGCCCAGTAGCCGAGTGGTTCAGCGTTGATGCCAGAGCACTTGCCGTGCTGCTGCTCACCCAGCAGAGAGCACCATTGCCCTGCCCAATGCTGCCTGCTCTCACACGCTCTGCTCTGCTCTGCTCTGGTTTCACAAAACCAGTATCTGAGCACAGCAGCAGCCAGCTTGCATGGCAGCAGGGGCTGGGCTGGCATCATGCCAGCAATCTGAGGGCTGTACCTAATTTGTGTACAAATGCTTTTGAAATTTAAATATCTTACGCCCAAAACTACATTAGAACTGCATTATTGAAGTTGCACAGTCAAACAGTCAAAAGTTAGGGAATGCACAAACAGCCTTACTCTGGCAGTCGTAATTTGCCTATGCATATGCATTATGAGACAGTCTTTAATTTCATGATTACAGCCTAGTGTTTCCACAGACTCATTTACTGCACAGGGTGGATGGTACTTGCTTAATGAGTAGCTATTGAATATTTTGTTTTCTCTTTATTGTTTAGTGTGTGGCCCTGTGCCTTTATGCTGTGCACTATTTCTGCAGTCTAAATTGGTTACTTCTGTGTGGGCTTTCTTGTGCTGTTGATTTCTGTTCATCTCTTCCCGATATTTAAATGAGTAGTTGGTGGTGGTATGCTTATTAAGGATATTGAAGCAAAGAAAGTAAGGTCAAGTCATCCATTCATCAAACTCCTGCTGTATTTGTTTGTTCTGTAAGTTCTCCTTGCTCTGTAGTCACAGGACAGTCACCCAGGAAGCAAAATACAAATTGGAAGTCTTGCCAAGAAAAAAAATTGGGTTTCATTTGCTACCAGCTTTGCATGGGACTCCATGGAAGACAGTTAACAAAATCCAGCTAGCTGTGTCTACTATCAGTTGCTGTGATCATGAGACTCTATGTCTTGCTAATGTAGCTGCATCTCTTCAGGTTAGCTGGGAGCTTGGAGTGCTGCTAGACAAGGCTAATTCCTGCACTTATAGGAAAGTGAGAGAGCAAGCTTGTGTATGTGTTCAAAATACCACACACCCCAATTCAGTCAGGCACCCAGGGCCAGCAGAGCTTGCTGTGCCCCCCCCCCAGCTGCAGGTGCAGTGAGAGTACGGCATTGCCTTTCACAACTCACTGTTTGTTGAGTGCAGGTGGACTCTTCGCAAAGTTAAATTTGAGCTGAAAATCTCTCCCAAGTGTGTGCAAAATGCAGTTTAGTGCAGCTCTGTTGCCTGACTTATTTAAAAGGCCCTTCTTAAAACCAAGATATACACATACAGTTTTCTAAGTATAGGTCACCAGCTGAATAATTTTTAAAATAATAAATAAAAAGTTTAGCAGTTTAATGAACAAAAAAATATACAATGAAAAAACACAGCAACTATTTTTTTTCCTAACCCATTCTCAGCAATGGCAAAACCCACCTTCATTTTAATGTTTTTCCAGGGAAAATTGTCTGAAAGCAATACCAGTTGAAATAGATATTTTAATGGGAAGTATCAGACAACCTTAATGAAAAGCAGGGATATTAGCTCAGCTTTCAATACCCCAAGATACTTGCTTGTACTCTTAACTTCCTTTGAGAGAAGAGTAGAAACTGTAAAATGGAGTTTGCCAGCAACAGAAACTGATGTTGGTCAGCTTTTGGGGCTGCTTCTTCCCCTTCATATTGCACTAAGATCATTACGAAAAAACCATGAGAGTTTAGTGATATTTGCTGGAGACAGCTGCACATCGAGTAATCACTGTCTAATACTTCCATATGGGACTGCTAACACCCTGCAGATCCTGTGCAAAAAAGCCAGCTATTTCTAGTGCTGTCTTCATTGCTCGGAGATTACTGGGTGGATTGATGGTGTGGACAGTCGTCTTTCTCTAATGGGCCTGTTTTCACTGCCTGGGTGATTTAGTGGTGGCAGCCTTGTATATGTTGACATGACATTTATCTTTCTGAAATTGATGGTGATATCACAAACAGATTTGTGCTGTTATTGATGAACTTGAGGAGGCAAAGTGGAGCAGTTGTGGAGAGCTTCTGTTTGGCTAGATATCCTGTCCAGGCATCATCAGCAGTAATGCACAACTCAGCAATAGTTTTTATATTGGAATGTACTGCTATGTATTAGTAGTACTTTTCACTTCTCCTTTATTTTGATGGTTTTGGACTCTGAGTGTGCTACTTCAACGTCGCTTAAGAGAGCTACAGGATTAGTATATGAACTATTTTGCATTACGGATGGAGAGTTTCAGGTGCATGCAAGTGAATCCCTGTGACCTCCTATGTGTCTGTGGTACAGTTTAGATTTGCTTGAATCCTGGTGGAATTTTCTGATCTTTCCAGTAGCTTCTAAAAGTCTAGCATATTTGTTCAAGGCTAGGCTACACTGCAGGGGTAGTAATTTTAGAAATGGGAGTTTTCTGATGCTCACAGTTGCATTTATTAACTGCTTCAGTTCTCTGCAATACCTTGTACTCCCTTCTTCCAAGTAATACGTTTATAAAGAAAAGCATTCCTACCTAAGATGTATGTTAAACTAGGAACCTTATCAGATGAAATGAGATGGTAGAGGCATCTATTTAACAAGCTAGTTGCTTCCCTTTGTAGTTTGTAATGCAGAAACTTCCTGCCAACATTACTTTTCCTTTGAAGACAGTTCATAATGTTGGCTTGCAACATACAAATATTTTTGAGGACTGTGGTAGTTAATGTCATCATTTCAGTTGATTGCTAAATTATAAACACTATTGAAAGTCTACAGGGGAGGAAGCTCTAGTTACACTGTATACGTAAAGCATAGTAAATTATCCATTCTTTGCAATAACCAAGATACACAAAGACGGTAATTTACCAGACTGAAGTGTCCATTTTTGCTTTTGGTTGCAGCTCAAAGTCTTCTGAATTAATTTACATTGAAAACCAGCTGCTTAGCTAGAGTTTTGTGGTATACTCTGCTGCAAGGTGTATCACTTACTAGTTTATTAGAGATTGTATTTTAGTTTCTCTCTAGTTTACATGCTTCTAAAGGTTGCAGTTTCTTTTGGATTTTCAGGTGTTCTATTACTGTGAAACACTTGGAGAAAATAAGAGAATTTATAAGATTAAGAATAGAGAAATTACCCATAAAACTGAAATGTGGTGGAATCCCTGAGTAGTCTGCTTTTATGGTCACATATATTCATTTGTACTGCATTGCCTTTGTGGAATACGCTTTTTTTAATAAGGCCTGTTGGGAATGTAGTTGGCATCAGGGGATCACAACTGAGGGTTATCAGTGGTCTTTACTGTCAAGCTTTTCAGAATCTCATAGAGCTGACTGTTAATGCAAGACCACTGTTGGGGTGTCTGATCTCTGCTTAATGTACAGTTGATCATCAGAGTACATGTATTTAGCGTAGCAGTTTTGGAGGGTATATACTTCTCTTGGGTAGCACAGGTATATGGCAGATCCCTTAAGA